TCATGGAACTATCCATATATAATCCACAAGTCCTATCTTTAAAATATCCTTTCTATGCCATCCAGGTGTTTTTGAACAAGGTAAAATAAAAGATTCTATATTCCTTCTTATAAGCATATTCATTGTCCCAAGAGAGGGAATCTGACACATACAAATACTGCACATGGATAAGAGGTAAAAACCACATATTTGGTTGAATGTGTTATAACAAATTGGCAATTGATTTTCGTAAAGCTAAGAACAACAACAAGAAGAACTGTGGGTTACTGACACCATCCCACAGGAATAGTCTGGTGAAACAGATCTTTATGGAACATCAGTAACTCACCAAACACTGCTAAGGACCTCTCCATCCTTCAAGGTGTAACTATGCTGCAAGAGATTCCTATTAGAAAATGCAAAGGCAGCAGTGAGGAGAAATTATGCTCTTCCATGTGTGCACACTGGAGTCACGAAAGAAACTCGCCTTACTTGTAAGTCTTTATATTTCTCAAATAATTACAGCAAATAGCACATTTAATGAGTGTTTTATGACATTTCACTTTTACTATCTATGAATCCCAAAGAGCCTTGGTGATACAGTGGTAAAAGACTGGACTGCTAACTTCTTTAAGGATGGCAGCCTTGGAAACCCTATGGGGCAGTTCTATTCTATCCTATAGGGTTGCGATGAGTCACAATCAACTGAAAGGCAATGAGTTTGGTTTTGGGTTTAATTACAAGGAAAGAACATTGGTGGTTCAGTGGTGGAATTCCTGTACTCTACACAGGAAATCCAGGTTCAATTCTGCCTCATGTAGCCACCAGCCATCTGTGTTACATACGCATGTTGTTATGATGCCTAACAGCTTTTAGCAAGCTTCCAGACTAAGACAGACTTGGAAGAAATGCTGAGTGATCTACTTCAGGAAAACAGCCAATGAAAATTCTATGGATCACAACCTATAATCGATCAACAGGATCATGCAGGACCAGACAGCATTTTGTTCCATTGTGCACAGGGTCACCATGAGTCAGGGGCCAACTCAGCAGCAGCTAACAACAGCAATAATCAAAAGGAGGTAGTTTTCTTGGCTAAGCAGTTATATACCCATATGAACAGAAGGAATGCAAGGAGCATGGTCTCCCATAAATCAACATTCAGGCCCACAGTGACAAATGTCAATTTGTAAGTTCCCTGTTTATTCAACGGGAAATACACTTAATTTCAAAATAACCCTAAAATATTTTCATAGAAAGAATAATAAAAGAAAAGAAAAACAACAACAAAAAGTTCAAGAAGTCTTTAGCTGGGATACTAAATTATACAATTCCTCTATCATTTGGTCTTGTGCAGAGCCAGAATAAATACTGTCACCAGTTTCAGAGAATAATAGCCTTTGTTCATTTCAAAATGATTATGTGCCAAAATGGTAAATATGTGATTGTCTTCTTTCGCTTTTTTTTTTAAAGTAAAAGTGAGATATAGAGTCTAGACAGTGGCAGAAATGTGTAGATATGCACAAGAATGCCATTCTGGATTGTTTTAGTCTCACCGGAATACAAATTACTTTAACAGCTACTACCACAGCCAGAGTTGTTGGAAAAAATAATTCTGATTCCTGGCATTGATGTTGGAAGCACATAAAAGAAAAAAAGCACACATGGCTTTTTGTGCTCATTGCTTATATTAAGCAATATAAATCAAAACACCTATCTCTAAAAGATAAGAAAGATCTTGTCACAATGCCCAGCATAGAGTAATCAGTCCATAACCATTTGACTTTTTTCTTCTTTTACTCCTGATTAACTTAACCGGACAAAAGTATTGACCACAAAAGTGATGCAATGGTGTTCAAAATGCTCTTTCCAGGACTAGGACAAATAAACTTTTCAAAGAAGTTTCAGAAATAAGTTTTTGTTCACAAAATTATTGGCAGTGCCACACTGTGACTTGAGGGAATTTAAATCCAGTTGCAGGAGTCGAATCTGATTCACAGTGACTTCATACGCCATAGTAGAATTGTGTTCCATATGGTTTTCAATGGCTCATTTTTAAAAAACAGATCACCAGGCCTTTCTTCCAAGGGGTCTCTGGTTGAACTTTAAGAGCCAACACTTCAGTTAGCTTCTGACCATGTTAATTGTTTGCACCTCTCAGGAACTCCTAGAGGAATTTAGATTCCTAATTACCTCCACCCATCCTTATAACACCATCAAAATAAACTCTTGAAACAAAAGCAGAGCTCTTCCTGTGTAAATCTAGACTCAAGACAAGTCCATATCCAAACAGACTAAGACTCCAACATTACTGTCATTATCAATAACCCTAGTGCTGCCAATGCCCAAAATTATTATGTAACTCAAATGCCATTTGCATTTTTCATTTACTAAAAGGAAGAAAGTTAAGCAAAAAGGATAAAACTTGGGAGCCAAGTAGATTTGCAGTTGAATACCAGCCTGTTTAATCATTGATGGGAGACCTCTGGAAAAATATTAAGCCTACATATGAAATTACTCTCATTGAAAAAGTCATAGCAACAGCCCAGCGAAGCTGTTGATACAAATTTCATAAGACTGTTGTGAGGACTAAATGAGATAGGGTACATACAATACCTGGCAAGTCTTGTTATGTGCCGTCGAGTTGGACCCGACTCATAGAGACCCCCTCCTTGATTTTTCGAGGCAGTATCACTATGGAAGTAGATTGTCCCATCTTCCTTCCGAGGAGTGGCTGGTGGGTTTGAACCGCCAGCCTCCTGGTTAGCAGTCAAGTACCTTAGGCACTATGCTACCAGAGATGGCAAGTCTTAGTACCTCATAAGTACAGCCACCACTCCTCTGTCAGTGGCGGCCTATGTGCTGCTGTGATGCTGAACAGGTTAGGTTGCAGCACAGCTTCCAGACTAAGAAGATCTAGGAGGAAAGGCTTGACAATCAATTGTGAAAATCAGCCAGTGCAAACTGTATGGATCACAGTGGTGCAATCTGCAATTAATCATGGGAATAACATAGGACTCTTCAGTGTTTTGTTCCATTGTGCATGGGCTCACCATGAGTCTGGGGCTAACTCAATGGCAGCTAACAGGTGCCTAGCAAATTGTCCCCTCCCGTACCTCTCCTCCTCCCTTTGGCTAATTCAAAAACCACTTATAGCATGGGGTCTCCCTCTGTTAAGGTAGAAAAAAGGCAACTTGGCTGAACAACAAAATTATAGATGTAATAAAAACTAGGATTACATTTTGAGGAGTGTTAATGTATTTCTGAGCAAAGAGATTTTCTATATTACAAGTGATCTAGGAAAATTCAGCACCCCACAGAGAGTTCACAGAGTCCTAGAAACCTGTGTTCGCTCTTTCAATCTCTGTATGGTATGAGTGCTGGACAGCCTGTAAACACCACTGCTTCTGTTCCATTCTCCTTACTTTATGTTGCACCCAAGCTAAAGAGTGGCTCAGAGAATAATTATGTTGCCTACTCCTAGTTGCTATAATAACATTATTGCCAAAATAGCAGATCACTCTGCAGGTGTTAGAGGAGCCTTTTCTAGATATTGTATCACTTCTGTTTCTGCTGGATCTTCTGTTGCCTGTTAAGAGGGCAGGCTGGAGCAACCAGGCACCACTACAGTCACACATAGAGGGGCACTTGGAGAACAGTTGAGCTTCTATCACATACAATATTGCCACAGACTGTGCTTCCGATCTTCAGATGATTTCTTTCTCTATGAGGGAACAAAACGTTATCTTGATACCATTTGCAGGGCTATGTAGTACCTGTTTCATGAAACTGAGCTTTTTCTTTTTTCCTAAATAATGAGTATTTTAGGGGTATGTTGTTGTTGTTGTTGTTGTTGTTGTTGTTTGCCATCGAGTCGGCCCCGACTCATAGCGACCCCTCCTTGGGTTTCCGAGGCAGTATCACTACGGAAGTAGGATTGCCCAACCTTCCTTCCGAGGAGTGGCTGGTGGGTTTGAACCACCTGCCTTCTGGTTAGCAGTCAAGTGCCTTAGCCACTATGCTACCAGATAGGATACGGTAAAAAGAATGCTGCCTGGTCCCTATAAATTGTAAGCCTATCACATGGGAGAAACTAAACTTTAGATTAGGAGACTGAATATATAAACAGTCCATTGCTGAGTTATTGCCAGGCCCTCTATGATAAGAGAATCCTGACCCACAAGCCACCTTTGCAGTAATCAACCCAGAAAGCCAAACTATAACCTCCACAGCCATTGGCCTAGAACAATTAGGACTTAGTCAATGACTGACACCCTCCTTATTTTTCACCACCTCTTCCAACTCAGGACCAACTAGGAAAAATCCAACATGCTCCTCAAATGAGTCACATAAGATAAATGGGTTAGAGTTAACCCATTTCCAGCTTCCCCAAGCCAACAACCTCCAAACAGGTACATCTGAAATCTTCTCTTCTTTTGACTAAAAAACTTTCCCACTCTTCTGCTTGCCTTTTAGTCTCAGCCACATGCAACTGATGATGGTTAACTTCCGTGTTATAGCAAGCTCTAAGAATACCTCTGTTTGTTCTCACTAGGATGACCTTCACTTATTTCCATAAGGTTTATCTGTCTGGCTCTGTTATGTCTAATTTTCTAACAAGATCCCATTTTAGGATTTGCAATGCTAAGGACCATGGTAACTTAAGCAAGGTAATATCATCCTCAAGACCTCTGGGCAACCCTAAACTCTGCCCTCTTCAAACTTTCATGCTCACCAAACTCATCTCCAACCATCCTCCTCCATCTACTTAATGTCTCCAACCATAACACTGAAGTACTAACAATCACAGAGGGATCTGCCATCCCAGTTTTCCCCAGAACTGTCTCATTTTTAATGCTGAAACTCCCACATCACAGGAAACTGCTGAGTCCCAAGTAAACTGGGACAGTTGGTCACCCTACCAATCAACCATTCTTAAATGTTTGCTTCTAGGTAAAACCACAGGCAATAAAATCTACTCATTAATCCATTGCAGTCACCCAGGTTTCCTTTTACTCTACCTCAATCTGGGTGGTGTTGTCCTGCCCATCGTCCAGCAGTAGGTCTGTGAAGCCTCTGGGCTCTGCGGAGTCTTGACCCAAGCTTGCTCGGTTTGTGTCTACCACCTTGGGAGAATCTAAGTTTCTTTTCCACCTGTGGCTGTAGGCGTGTGAGTACACTTCCACCTCATCCTCTGTTTGAGGGAAGGCCTGAGGAACTTCATATTGCCAATCTGTTTGAAAAAGAAATAAAATGGGTTACCATTTGTTGTGAATCATATACATGGTATCCACAACAGCAGAAAAAGAAATTCTGCTATTCATGAGGACACTAATAACATAAAATCTGTTTAGTTGTAGTATTTGGAGTTGACCTGAACAACTCCAAGTTAAATGCAGTTTCAGTAATAATAATAATAATAATAATAATAATAGTGACCATGGTTAATGTTCAACTTTTACCAAGTTTCTCAAACAGATACACAGCCTGAAAGCAATTCATTTTTATTCTCTCTCCCCCACTCAAACACTTCATGAACATTCTTTACTTTTTCTGAGCAAACAAGCTAGAATCTGAACAAAGGAGTGAAACTAAGCAATTTTCAGAGCATTTGAAAATGCAAACTCAGACATTATTATTAACTTGGAGCTTATATTTGTTTCCTATCAGTTACTCTAGAAAGCAAAGAGACTATGAACACTTAACTGGTTAAATAATATAGGGAATTATCTTAGTGTGAATGTATTCATCTCTCTTGTAACTAACAAGTCAGACTTGGTTCATTGCCTAACTCATTTAATAAACAACACCCTCAGGAGTCATCGCAAATGCTCTTGTTCATTTGTGCTGCTTTCACCTTGGAATCTTGTCAGGGTAGTAAAGAATGATGCTGATGGACATTTATAGAAATGGATGGCAAGGCAAGGAGATCAAATCACTAAGGTATTTTAAAGCCATCTGCAGGGACTGGCCTTACTGACCCAGCTCATCCTGCTACCATGGGAAGGAGAATTAGATTCAATCATTACCCCTAGTCTTTCATTTCAGTAGGTCAGCAGGGGAAGGTGTACCGCAAGTATGGGAAATTCAGTTTCTGACCAAGAAGAACAGCCTTCTTCTACCCAACCATTACTAAAAGATAGGGCTTGACAGGTCTTATAACTGGCAGGAAATGGATTCAAAAGGAGGTCAGACAGCAAGGATTTAATTACAGCTGTGATTTCACCATCAATGCCAGAACATTCCAAGAAATTAAAATGCAGCTTTTAATACCCTTGCACTTATTCAAAACTCTGATAAACTACTCCTATGCATTTAGCACAGTGTCTAAGGCACTTGGCTGCTAACCAGAAGGCTGGTGGTTCAAACTCACCAGCCACTCCTCAGAAGGAAGGTTGGGCAATCTACTTCTGTAGTGATACCACCTTGGAAACCCAAGGAGGGGTCACTAGGAGTTGAGTCTGACTCGATGGCAAATAACAACAACAACAACAGGCATTTCAAAAAGAACCCTGGGCAGTGCAATTGGTTTGCTCTCAGCTACTAACTGAAAGGTTGGATGTTCAAATCCACTCAGTGGCATTGTGGTGGCAATTTGCTACAATAAAATTATAGCCAAGAAAACCCTGTAGGGTACGGTTTCATTCAGAAGCATATGGGGTCACCTAGAGTCAGAGTCAACTTGACAGAAATGGTTTTATGCATTTCACAGAAGTCCTGGGTGGTGTAAACATTTAAGTGTTCAACTATTAACTGAAAGGCTAACCAAAACATTGGCAGTTTGATCCCACCTAGAGGTTCTTTGGAAAAAGGGCCTGGTGCTCTGCTACCAAAAGATCACAGACTTGAAAAAAAAAAAAAACCCTAGGGAGTCCAGTTCTACTCTGCAATTCATGGGTTACCATGAATCAGAATTAACTCAAAAGCCAGTGGTAAAAATTTCATTTCACAGGCTCTACTCCTATACATTTAGAACTTAATGACAATATAAAGGCTACCATTACCAATCACATGCATTGCCAGAGGGGCAGGAAGGCCTCATCTTCTGACCTTCTCTAACCCCACAAGAGGAAGACAAAATCACCATCAGTAGCCTAAGGCCTATTTCTGGGAGGCCAGACATGCTGCCTCCCTCTAGCCCTTTCAAAAACCATGACACCAACCATTCCTCCCACAGCACCCACCACCTTTCTGCTGGGTTCGATAATTCACTGCAGTGGCCACACAGAACTCACAGATTTGGGGGTTTATTAGGGAAGCACAAGGCTACAATTCAAGTTCAGGAAAAACACTCAGTCTCTCTTAGCCCATCACCTCTCAGCCAACAGTCTCTCTTAGTCTCTCTCTCAGCAGTACATGTCTCTCTCTCAGCAATGTATGTCTCTTTCTCAGCAGCGCATGTCTCTCAGGAGCACGTATCTCTCAGGAGCATGTCTTTCTCAGCCAGCAGTCAGAGAAACTCCTTCTGCTTCTAGAAGGGCTCGATAGCCTTTGAGCTTGAGAGAGTAACCACTAACTAATCCCAACATCAATTCTACACACCTGAGAGAGAGAGAGAACGTCTCAGAAAATTACTTTGTGCTGCTCCCAACAGAAATACCTCAGGTGGAAAATTTTAACAATGAGGAGCTACTCAGTTTCTCACAGCAAATTCCACTGTGGAGTTTACAAAGACATATGGCTAGAAAAGCCACACTATGTAATTTACTACACCGTATGCATAATGGTCTAAAATGGTCCCTTCAACTCAGAACGGGGAAGGGGTTAATAATTCTACACAGAGAGCATACTCTTTAGTTTCACAGTGAACTTAACAGACCTCCCAGTAGTGCCTGATGCTTTAGTGCTTAACGCTCAGAACAAAAGAAGCACCATAGTGTCTGCAATCTAGATCTTCCCAAGGTCTCATAGAATATTACAGCTTATAGGGACCACAGTGACCAAAATGGACAAAAATTCCACTAGGAGAACCCCAAGAGCCAGAGAACTGTAGCTTTTTGATCAATTTACAGAAGAGTTATAAGGCTGGAAAGAAAGCACATGTATAAAGGGCTGATAGTGGTCCCACTGTTGCCTTTCAAATATTCCATGTTCAATAAGGACATCTAATCCATATCATCATCATCACTATAGAAAATACTTCTTCAATACTCCTGTTGCTCCTGACCATTAAACAGTACTTAATACATGTTTGTTGACTGACTGAAAGAGTGGAGAAATGAATGTTCACAGACTCTTTGTATCAAGAATAAGAGGACATGGTAGAACTAAGTAATGAAAGAATTATTGCATAAAAAGTCAGGAGAGCTGGGCTGGATTTCTTTCTGTTAGGCTTGCTGGCGTGGGATCTAGCATAATTTGCAATGTTCTCTCTCTCTCTCTCTCTCTCTCTCTCTCTCTCTTTTTTTTTTTTTTACTTGTCTCGTATTTAAAATGGGAATGAATATATCTCACCTGCAAAAGCAGACAGCTTTTCCTAAGTCTGTGTCAAGCTCTAAGACCTATGATTCTAAGCAACACTACATAAAGAAATTTTACGTCCTTTATTTATATGTCCTGCCTCATTACCAAAAATATATGAGGCAGCTTACAACAAAGGTAAGCAATAAAGTTTTATAACAATCAGATAAGACCTTGGAGCATAAGGCTTAGGTCAACTTTAGAGATGAGTATTTGCCTTACATTGGGGCTAGGAGGCCTTTAGCAAGTTATTCCACTGACACAGCAAATAGTCATGTAGGAATGATTGTTAGAATGTCAATCCCAATGAGAAATGGTTAAAAAAAAAAAAAAAAAAAGATGAATAGATTAACTGGTTAATAGATTAATGGTTCCAGAAATTTAAAAATAAATAAATAAAATTACTTAAAAAATAAATAAATAAAACAAGCCCACACACTCAAAGAGAACAACTATAACCAGAGGCATATCCATCCTCTATAATGTAAACCAGTAAAAATATACCTAAAACTTCAAATAATTAGGCTTTATGAAATTTTTCAAAACAGAACTTCAAAGCAACTTTCTGTTGCTTTTAAATAGGTGTTATGATCACTTCCTTGATGTTAACTTTACCATATTCTTCATAGATATTTATAACACAAGACAAAGTATTACTTTCCACAATCCCCATGAGGACCCAGTGACACCTGGGAGGCTGGCTCCAGTGGGCCTCACACCAGTACCTGTGATCCCAGCACAAGGCAGCAAGTGGACAAATGACTAGCACAACAAGAGATGTCTGCAGAGGAATTCTGTTTTTCAACACCTTTAAGTCCCCTTTCTCATTCTCCCCTCATCTTCTTACTGTACAGAACTAATGAAAAGAAGCTTTAAATTTAGGGATCATAAAGTCCATACTCTCCACTTTCACCAAAATTTAGGAAGTCTAGTTTATATTCACTTCTCTGGTAGCGTAGTGCCTAAGGCATTTGACTGCTAACCAGAAGGCTGGCAGTTCAAATCCATCAGCCACTCCTCAGAAGGAAGATGGGGGCAATCTACTTCCATAGTGATACTGCCTCGGAAACCCAAGGAGGAGTGGCTATGAGTTGGATCCAACTCCAAGGCAATGAATTTGGTTTTGAGCGCTCCGGTAGCATAGTGCCTAAGGCACTTGACTGTTAACCTGAAGGCTGGTGGTTCAAACCCACCAGCCACTCCTCGGAAGGAAGGTTGGACAATCTACTTCCGTAGTGATACCGCCTCAGAAACCCAAGGAGGGGTTGCTATGAGTCGGGTCTGACTCGACGGCACAAAACAACAACAACAGTTATATGTTTAACTTTTGTTTTTGTAGTAAGCATTCAAAGTCATCCTTTGGAAGGATCAGCTTGGAAGATAAATTTAGTAAACAATAGATCCCTTGTCTATCATCCATCTTCAGTTTGTCATACTGTGGTGCTATGATGCTGGAAGATATGCCAACAGTGTTTCAAATATCAGCAGGTCCTCCATGGTGGAAAGGTTTCAGTGGAGCTTCCAGACTAAGAGGCACCCTAGAAAGAAAGGCCTGGCAATCTGCTTTAGAACATAGTTATTGTGTTGTTATGTACCGTCGAATTGGACCCAACTCATAGCAACCCCTCCTTGGGTTTCCGAGGCTGTATCTCTACAGCAGTAGATTGCCCAGCCTTTCTTCCAAGGAGTGGCTGGTGGGTTTGAACCACCAGCCTTTTAGTTAGCAGTCAAGTGCCTTAGGCACTATGCTACCAGAGCTCCTTTCCTTACAGG